TAAAATAAGCCAGTCCCAAGAGGACGAAAACTGTGTGGTTTCACTTATAAGAGAGGTCTCTAGAGGAGTCAGACTCTTAGAGACAGAAGGTACAATGGCGGCCAGGGGTGAGGGAGAAGGGATAGGGAGTTGTTGCTTTATGGATATAAAGTTCTAGTTTAGAAAGACCTTCAAGAGATTAGTTGTGAAACAGTGTGAATATGCTTAACACCACTAACGTACACTTAGAGATGGGGATAATGGCATGTTTACACATTTTTAAATTAACCTTGCACCAAACTAGCAAAGGAAAAACTGACGCACGAATGTTCTCTGAACCCATTTGTTCATCCTTTATTCCTCCCTTCCATATCAGTTGACTTTTGACAACTAACAACAACTCTAAAACTCAGTCAGTTAAAACAAAATCTATTTATTTATTGTGGTTCTGGTTTGGCAGTTTGAATAAGGCTAAGCTGACTAAGGTCAGGCAAGGGCTGGCTAGTCTGCATGCCAATCTGGGATGGCTCATCTCTACTCCTTGTAATCTATCATCCTCCAACAGGTTAGCCCCAGATCATGCATATGAAGGTGATGGCAAGGGTCTCCAGAGGTAGCAAAAGCAGGCATGTCTCTTTGAGGCTGTGCTTGGCACTCACACAAGGTCCTTTCTATTGCATTCTATGGTCCAAATCATAAGGCTGGCCAAGATTCAAAGGGTGGGAAAATGATCCCTGCCTCTCTGTAGAGAATTTTTGCAACTTACCATATGGGCTGTATATATGTCAGCCCCTGAGCTGAGTGTTGCGGATAAAAATATAAATAAAATACAGTCTAGTACAGGAAGCGGACATGTAAATAAATAATTACAAGGCGTAGTGTGTTACAAAGAAAGCAGCTCAGGATGCTGGGAGAGCAAGCAGAGAGGGCAATGGCTGTAGGAAGAAAGGAAAGTGGCAAAGAGACCTTGGACTAGATAATAACAGGACTAGCAGGAAAGAAAGACTATCATGGTGATTAGCCAGATGAAGAAGGGGAACACAAGTTTGGAGGGAGGACCTGTCTATGGCACGGGGACGCTTCACTGGGGAGTAAAGGGAACCTTCCCCCCAGAAAGTGGAGTAGAAACAACTCAAGGAGGCCTTACTATTCATCTTTGAAGGGTACATTTAAGCAGAGGCTGATGGCCAGGTGCTGTGGGGAACAACAGTGTGGAGGTGGCATGGAGGAGAGCAGGCTGGAAATTGGAAAGCACTTTCTGGTCAGAGGATGGCAGTTCAACCCGGTGCTTTCTGCCAAGTGGTTTCAGTGGGAGGGGAATCCCTGAAGAAGGAGCAAGGCACAGGACATAGGGGTGGATCATCCCACTCAAAGTGAAGAGGACCAGGAAACATTCCTTAATGCCAGCCCGCAGGGATGAATCCTAAGGCTAAAGCTGTGGTCCTCCAAGTAGGCTCAGGCAGTCAGAGCCCTCACTAATGAGGTACCACTGAGCCTTTGTCTTGGGAGGAAGCAGGGGTCAGGCAAGCCTGAATCCTAGAATGCAAAGTACTACAGGGCTTCCTGGAGACCCAACCTCAGGATGGGCTCCACTCAAGGCCTTGCAGCCCTTCCTACACCAGGCCCTGCTTTTTGGATGGTTTCCAGGAGCCACCTCAGAAATTCAGGAGGGTTGTTCTGCTCTAAGACAAGGGTGAGGAGGATGGCAGCTTTCACCTAGGCAAGTAGGTCCTGGCTTCCTCCTGTGGATTCAGGGCCTACTCCAGACAAGTGTAGCCTGCAATGCCCACCCTCCCCACTGGCACGCCGCAGGCAGTGGTAAGCACGCATCAACTGATCAATACTTGGAATGCACTGGCCTGCTGTGAAATGGGATCCCCTGGTGAGCACTTTCATAAATTGAAAAATTCTTCTGGAAATGAATAATCGTCCCCAACTATTAAATCAAGATTTCTGAAAAGATAGAGCTGAGAAGAGCACAAAATATCCATATGGGGGACATTGACACCAGAACCTCCAGGAGGCACCTACCAGATCTAGACCTGGACCTGGGATTCTTGGAACAGCGAGCATTGCTGCTGAGGCTAGGGCTGAGGCCAGAGTCATTGCTAAGAATTCGACCTGTAGGGAAAATCTTCAAAGCATCAGAACACAGTAGGTCCAGGCATAGGATGTTGAACTGGCCCCAGCACTGGCTGACTCAATAAGTGCATGGACCCAGGTCTGCTTTCTGATACAGCATGACAGCCAGGGGACCACAGAGCTCCTTTGTGCTTAAGGGATATGAGGCTCCACAGACGAACAACTCACCCAGGGCCACCTAACAACTTTGTGACAAACCCAAAGTAAAAACTAAAATCCAAGTCTTTGGAACCTTAGCCTGGAATTCCCCCAGACCTCCACCCCTCACTTCACTCAAAAAGATGACATCACCTACCAGGCTTACTCAACTAGCTGTAGGTTCTATTTGGAGTCAGTGTTTAAGTGTCATAATTTAGATATGCCCTGCCTACCTAGCCCCACAGGCCCTTCCTGAGCTGTTTGTGCCTCCCAGACCTCTGCTTCACACTGCTGCTTCCCATGGGTTTATCTCCAGCCCAGGCCTCTAGTCACTATGTCCTCTTGTCCAACAAGCTTACCCCAAATCAGACTCTTCTTCCCCTCCCTTCCCAGATATCCTATACCCCTCCCATCCCATAGCATCTGAGGCCTAAATGCTTTTTCTGTCCTTCAGTTGCTGACTACTGTCTCCATTAGGCCTTTTCATTTCTGCTGGATCATGGAAGGGGTTTCACCATCAACAGCAACTCACATCTACCTCAGTGATACCAGCACAATACCTATTGACCATATGCTGTCTCATTAACCTCAACAAACAAAAATGCTGGCGATCTGGGGCTTTGATTTACTTTTCAAGGCCACACAGCTCACAGGAGGCAAAGTTCAGGTTTACCCTCAGATCTGTCTCCAAAGTCAAGGTCTTTTCATGTAGAGTGTCTTCCTGCCTCCCTTTAGGCCTCCCAAGTCACTTTCATCCTGCCTCTGCTAAATCACTGGAAATACAAACCTAACCTCAACATTCACCTGCACACAACACCCTGAGGCATCCTTGTACCATGGGTTGAAGCCCAAGTTTCCATGGCAAGGTTCTTGGGATATAGCCTACCAGCCAGCCTGTGGCATTCTTTTGCTCTCCAGCTATTGGCTCACCTATATCCACCCACACCCTCCATCCTGGTTTCTCTGCCCTGCTGCATCTTACCTGGAGCATGTGCCCCTGCTTCAAGTCCAAGCTTGCCCCAGGTGGAGGCCCCAGCCAGAGTCGCTCTCATCTCACCATATACACCCTGTGGACACTCTGCCATAGTTCACGTTAGCCTAGCAAGTGGTGAGGGGTCCATGACTGATCATAACTTGTGACTCAGGGGACCATTTCATCACCTCAGTCCCTACATGCAGCATGTTTTTGAGGACCTAAATCCCTCAGTAGAACCCAAGCCCAGAGCGTCCTTTCAAACAAGCACATTCCTGACCACCAAGGCCCACTAGTCCCATTCTCATCCCTGAGCTAGATTGGATCACCTGATCCCATCACCAGTCTCTGCAGATAGAAGCAAGAGCCGCAGCTCCCTGTTGACAGATAAGATGTAGAAGCTCGGAAAGGCACAGAAGACCTGTTTCTGTCAGGTAGGGCATAGAGGAATCTCAACTAGTACTGACTCTGTAGACAGTGACTGGTCAGGCTTGAAGCAGGGAACACTAAAGGATATTTGTAGAACATCAAATGCAGCCAACATAGACCTGGAGGGTTTGGCATGATGGCAAGGGGGCTTTCAAGCCATTGTCTCCCCTTCATCTATCTGATGACAGTCTAGGTTGACACAAGGATCTGATGTCCGCTACTCCATGCAAAGGGTAGGGTGGTCCTGTAGGCAGACAGGTAAGGTGAGGCTAGTGAGGAGTGATGGCCATCCTAACTTTGGCAAAGAAGAAAGTATACCTAAATCGGATGGGCAGGCTCTTCTCTCCTCCTTCCTTCTAGCCTTTGGGGTGGGTCTGGGAGGAGCCTCTGACATCCCTAGGTCTGGAGCCCACAGGGCTGGATTCTGTCAGTGCCAGCCCCAGGCAGCCAAGACTCCAGGCAAAGGTAGGTATGCACTAGGGCTGGAATGCCCTCCCCAACCCCACCCACAAGCCACTTCCTAGGACCCACAGGGGGCTACAAACCAGCTTGCCCTTGTCAAACACACAGGCAAGGCTGGGCATCCTGGAAGGCTGGCCTAGAAAATGAGGGTGATGCAGAGGACCCCCTACCTTGTCCCTTGCTTGCTTGCTTTCCCCAGAAGTCCCCAGAAATGTGAGATGGAAGGAGGCACTTGCCAAGCCCTCACTGGGCCCTTCTGTTCTCTGGGTCCCCTTCCCAGGAAGCTTGCCCCATGCCATGGCTTGAATGTCTAACTGAAGGGATGCTGTTTTTTCAGGTTTTATGATCTGTATTCCTTTGAACCATATCCAGCCCATCTTGCATCATAATACCATGCTTTACTTGGTATCCAATGCATCGGCACCATTGGCATTTGGAGAGCTTGTTCTGTAGTTCTAGGATAGTTTTGGGTTTTTTGTTTGTTTATTGTTGGGTTTTTTTTTTAAGCTGTTTGTGGTAATGTATTTTGTAGTTTCTAATTGTCAGTATGGGATTCTTTCCCCACCCCACTCCCCAATCTTTCAGTACCTGGGTTTTGATTTTATTTTTTTTCAGTCATACTTGGTTTTTTTGTTTTGTTTTGTTTTTTTGCTTTTTAAAGTTGTTATTCCCTTGGTTATGTAGCCCCTCCCAGTGGCTGCTTGTTTACACATTGTTTGTGACTTCTTTTGACTGTCAGTGTTCAGCCAGTCTTGCCAAGAAACAATATCAAGTATTTTCTATTTCTCTACTTCTTGAAAAAAATTTTTTAATTAAAAATAAAAGATAAAAACCTCTTAATGGGAACCTGGCCCTGTCTGTCTTCTCTGTTCTGCAGAAATGTTGAAGGAATTGAACCAGCAGCGCAGAGCGAAAGCGTTTACAGACCTGAAAATTGTTGTTGAAGGCAGAGAGTTTGAAGTCCACCAAAATGTTCTAGCTTCCTGCAGCTTGTATTTCAAGGACCTGATTCAAAGGTTTGCCTTCCTTCCAGCTGTGGTCGGGTCTGTTCCTTCGTAGGACGCTTTTGTGTCGCTTTTCTCCTCCCCTCTCTTGCAGGTTCCTGAAGCGTGACTCCCTGTCACAGAGCCAGTAGCCATCTCTCCTCCTCCTCCTCCCCAGTGCCCTCCCACACACAGCCTCAGAACAGCCACTGCCCTCACTCCCCCACACACACAGCCTCATTGGCCATCAGGGGCTTGCCCACAGTGGACCACATCCCTGCCCACCCCAGGATCCCACCTTCTCAGTGGCTCACAATTCCCCCTGAGATTAGGACTATAGACTCCATTTTAAGGGACCATTACACTAACCCATCCCTCAGGACTCCCAGAGCCATCGTCACTGCTGTTGATGGTGAACTTAATGCCAGAGAAGCACCTGAAGCAGGCCAATCCCAATGAGAGACACCAGGCACCCCAGGGACTGTTCTTCCCCAGCCAGAGTCAGGGAGAAGAGCATGCAGGCCAAGCCTCCTCATTGCTGCATGTCCTCATGCCTGCACACTGGGCACTGAGCACAGACCAGGTGTGTCCTAAACACGGTCTCTCAGCCTTCACCCTCCCTTGGCCCACCCCAGCCTCACCAGGCCATTTCTACTTAGAGCATTGTTAATGGTGCCTGAGTCTCTCTCTCTCTCTTTTTTTTTTTTTCTTTTTTCATTTTGTTGATTTTTTTTTTTTTTAATTTGTCTGCTTCATACCCTTGCAAAGAAGTCAGGGCCACCTCCTAGCTCCTTAGTGAGGGAGAGCAGCCGAGGGGCCAGCCCAGGGTAACGCTCACATTTCTCTCACCCATCAGCAGATTAATGCCGCTGCTCATTTTGCCTTGCAGCCTCTCCGGGGCGGACGCTGAGCCAGGACAGAGCTCAGAGTGGGAGGACAGGACCTCTGCTTGCTTCCCAATGCTGTGTTTGGACTTGCCAACTAACCCCAGAGCAATTGTGTTTTGTTTCAGGATGGCACACTGGCTGGCATCTCCTTTCCGATCCCTTGTGTCCTTTGGCATAGAGCCAGGCCGCCGGGCATGTGAGGTCCCGCCCAGCCTCACTGGCCCTCTGCCACACAGGAGGGGCAGGCTCTTTGTGACTTCCCATCTCCTGGACAACTTGATTTCCTGCCCCATGCTTAGGTTCTCTCTGTCCATGCACAGGGTTAGAGGCATGAGTCGGGGGGAAGGAGGTGTATACAAATAGCTTCTTCAGGCCAGGGAGGCCTTTTTGAGAAATTCTAGAACCAGCAGTGACCAGCATCTGGATGCAGGGTCACAGACAGCATCCTGGGGCCTTAGGCCCTGATTCAGTACAAAGTTGCTCTAGAGCAGTGACCCAGCCATGGACGAGAACCATGTGCAGACGGGAAGCCTTTAACTGCCCTTGAAGACACATTAAAGCCAAATTCTGCCACACAACAGAGAAGAGGACCCTGATAGGTAGGAACCTTCTTGAACAGACTGAGAAGAGGGAGGAAGAGCCTTCTAGATGAGAATGGGGACAGAAACAGACATGAATCAGGGACAGAAGCAAGTGGCCAGAAGCAGATGTGAGCAGGCACTGACCCCACACTACCTCTGCTGTCCTGGGCTTGCTATGAGGTGAGGGGGTGTTCCCCTATGTAAATAGGTGAACACCTAAATGTGCCTCCATAGACCTGATGGATGCCCCATCCAAGCAGTTTCTTGGGGAGAAATTACCCTTGGGAGCCAGGAAACCTGGGTCCTACACTTGACTCTGCCACCCACCCTGTGACTCCAGGCTGGCCACACCCTCTGTCTCAAGCCTCAGGCTTTCTCATCTGTAAAACCAGGAGTTGGTCAAATGATGTTGAAGGTGACAGTCAGGGGATGGGCAGGGCCAACCTAGAAGGCAGGGGAACAGTCTAGTGTTGGGGGCAAGCTGGGAGAAGATACCCAATAGAGCATATATGTCTTGCTTTCATGACCTGAAGGACACCCAGTCTCCAGTGGTGACACCTGGTAGTTAGGTAGACAGATGGATCTGAGCTAGTCAGGGATGGAGTATGGGGCCTTCAGCGTGCACAGAGTCCTCCAGAGAATCAGAAGAGAAGCTGAAGCTGTGCCCAGGAGCCTTGGGGCTGAAGGGCGCAATGTTTGTTGACAACCATTTTGAATTTTCTTTCTCTATCATGGCCACAGAGTACATGTTACCATTTATGCTGATGGCCGCAAACAAAGGCTTTTGAAGGACGGAAACAGGTCTTCACAGGGAGATGGTATCATTTGGGGCCACATGGTTCCAAGTTCTTCATGGTCAGAGCTGATACTGTCACTATGTTGTTGCTGTCCTTTTCACATCAGTGACCCTCCAGCAGTAACTAGAATAGACTTGCAGGGGCAAAGAAGCCGAGGAGCTACTTTTCAGGGTCTATGAGCTTACAAACTGAGAGAGTAGGAACAATCTGTAGAGTGTAGTGTCTGAGGCTTACCTTCATGGGACCAGTACTGATCTGCCCTTGCTGAGCACTGTCAGAGCAAGTGACCACCCCCACCTCTGCTGCCTGACACCCCAGGCCTGGATATTCCATCTGGTTTCCTTCCTGCCACTAACCTTGGGTGGGTCATGTGTCCACTGTTCCATCCCCACCTCCAATGTGACTGTCTCTCCTGGAACCACAGGAGGACACATGGGAAGTGAAGCTATTCTGTCACTCTTCTCTTGGCAAGCAGGGCAGGTCCCTTCTGGGTCAAAGCCTGCCTAGAACCCTCAGCGACAGATAGTATGAAGATGAGAGAAGGGCAGCATGGAACAGAGACTTGTGAGGGCCATGTGGCATGGGTTTCAAGTGAAGAATATGAATTAGCCAGGTTGATGAGTGGAGAAAAGTGTGAGACTGTAGGACAGCAGGGACTCAGGGTACCACAAATGACCCTGTGGGCAGAGTGCCATGTGTGAAGGCAAGGATATTGCCTCCCAAAGGGAGGCAGGAGCCATGTCATGAGGTTTGCTTTAAGCATAGAAATGTGATAGTCAGGTCTGTGACTTATAAAAATGACAGTCAGGGCTGGAGATAGAGCTCAGAAGGAGAGCACTTGCCTAGCATGTACAGGGTCCTGGTGTGATATCCAACAGCAGAGAGAGAGAGAGAGAGAGAGAGAGAGAGAGAGAGAGAGAGAGAGAGAGAGAGAGAGATCAATGTGAGAGTG